ATGCCTATGAAAGCATCCCTTTGAGTTCTGCTGCCTTAATAAAACAATAAATACCAGCTAATTACCATTTTTTTTTTAAACTTTAAATTAGTAGGAGAATAGAATTCTTTTCACTCAACATAAAATCAGATTTCTTAAGTACTAGGTCAATGGAAATGTAACATTTTGTATTTCACTGTGTAGGTCAGAGTGTATAACCAGGATGTACCACATTACACTTAAAAACTACAGTAGATCTTGAAGATGGTAAACAAACTGAGGGGTTTGGGATTTAGATATATAGAAGTAAAACAAATTTTCATGAGTGTTTGTTTAAAACCTTGATGGTAGAGAAATACTTTAAAAAGGGAGAGGATACTGGAATATGCATTTTGAAATGTGTATTTTACTTGGTGTTTAAATATTTAGTCAGGAGCTTTATATGTCGAATATCACAGTGAAAAAGGAAAATAGATCAATTTAGCATTTTATTTGCAGTAAAATTTTAGTCTGTTCCATTAAACATCTACTTAACTTGACTGTATAAAGGGATTTTTGGATCTTGGGATTTTTTTTTAGCTTTATTAGTTCTAAAATTCTGTTGGAAAATGTGAGTCCTATAAGTGTCTTTATTGGGAAAGATGTTCCTTTTACAAGCCTAATCAAGAGGAACAATAGCTGAACTATTAATTTAAAAGATTTTTGTTTAGTAGACTTGTCATAGTAATAACAGAAAATGAGTTTATTAAAATCTTGATAAAATATGATAGCAGTTTTTTGACATTTTGTTTTACTTTGTTGTTTTGTTTTGTGTTGGTTTTTTTTTTTGTCTGAGTCTTGGTGCTTTTCTTTTACTTCTGAAAGCTTACGGATAACAGACGTACCAGTTAGCTATAATTATTTTCCAGGTTCTATCCTATCTTGCAGTTCTGAGGTGATGATGACCTGGTATCAGAGGAAAAAATATAACTGGGACATGCAACTGTCTAAATTAGAAATACTATTATAGGCAGCATTTTATTTTTATAGGCAAATGTCTTCTCTGACCCACATAAAAACTTAATATATTACTTCTGAAATGCATTGACTGGTCTTTTTAATCATTAGTCAAGCACTAAGATATAGGCAGCAAAGACATGTAATGTCTCAGTGCCCAGCAAAACCGACCCAGGATAAGCATCTCTTTGGAGCAAAAGCCAGCATGTTCATGTTAAGCGTCGCAGATGTTGAAGCAGTGGCAGTGGCAAAGAGAGAAACGGGGTGGACAATCCTGAGGCTTTCTTCTGTATAAATATTCGTGGAGGGAATGTGAGAGAAAAGTTCATGGAAAAGGCTACTAGCTTTTATTCCAGCTTCTTAAAGCATACCATACAACACAGTTAAGTAGGCCTGCTGAGGATATTTTCAGTTTAATCATTGTTTGCCTGCTGTTGTTTGATTTCTAATGTTCAGAAGTAGTACTTGCATGTATTTCTGTGACCGTTTGTATGCGATGAATTGTTAATATTTGCTTTCAGCAAAAGCAACATCTTTTGCATTGGTCTTTAGCAGGGTAAATAGAAGGGGGCAAAATCAGTTGTGTGTGGCTTTTTTTTTTTTTTTTAAATAAAGTATTTGTGGCACAGACATCTACTTGATTTCAAGCTGTTGATAGAAAGCTGAAAGCAACTGCAATATGGAGTGGTTAATTAAGCACACTTTAACCGTACAACTTTACTGCACAAGTTCCTGATGCAGATTTTCAAATTGCACTTGAAACTTGGACAAGTTACAACCATTTTAGGGCAATTTTAATAGAACAAGAAATACTTCATGTAGTCATTAAATGTGGTGGTCAAATAGAATAACAATAAATTGTATTATAAGAACAAATGATAGGAATATAGATCCCCTGCTATTTTTTGACAAAACTAATTTGTAAAACTAATTCATGATTTTTTTTTTTTCTATAGAGTATAATCTGTTGGGTTGATGTCACTTCCTTCAGCTTGATTACATTAATTAGGCAAAAAACATATGAGATTGCAAGAGGTTCCATGTTTTTTTTCCCCGTCAGTTTTATTTTTTTTTAATCTTGAGAGCTCAAACTAAGATCCACTTTCAGATCAATTGCTTGCTTTCTTTATAATAAAATTGTTTTCCTTCTTTTTTTTTTTAAAAATGCTGTATCAGGTATCTAGCTCTTCTGATTGCAGAAAGGACAGAGTGACAGCAGGAGTGCTTAATTAATTTTACTTCAAGAATTGATAACTGAGTGATTTTAGGTGAACTGCAAAATGCCAGGTGGCATTGGGAATAAATAAGAGATCACGCAGCTGCTGACTTAATTGACAAGAGGGCGTGGCTGCCATCTGTTAATGCTCTTGCATTTATCTCTAGATATTTGGGGAAATGGTTTGCTGTTTGTCAAAGTTTAAGACCAAATGACAGTGTGGAGACTATAAATGAATTTGGATACCAAACCACTTTAATCTCAGTTTGTGCAGTTCACAAATTGCATGACATCCATGTTCTGCAGGAGAGATGACGTGGTCCAGGAGAGAAGTTGTCTTCAGCTGTGCGATGCATAGTCCAGGCGCAGGACCGTCGCATCTCCCAGAGTCTCTCCTCTGGGATCCATTGAATATTCTCTAGTTTCATTGGTTATAGGATTGGATAGTGAATACCTCTGTGGTCGCTGGTCCATTTAGCTTGCACTGTTGTTTTCTGACTTGTTGCCATTGACAGGGCTCTGCTTGTTCAGGATGCTTCTGGAGCCATTTGCAATTCTTGATGATCAACAGGTTATTTGCATAGTTTGGCTCTCTGTTTTCTTGAGCATGCAAAACTTGCCAGAGTTCATTATGCTGTCTGGAACAAGAGGTTGGTCATATTTCATCTACTTTACTGAAACAAGTGGTTGGTGCAAATTCACAGGCTTATGCTAAGAGCTATGCTAACTAGGCCTAACTTGTGTGAACTGCTGCACTGTTTCATTTGAGCGTGGAAAGTATGCGGTTAGACAAATGGAAGGACTTAATGTTGGTGTATTGGTGACGGAAGAGAACAAGTGCAAATTTGAGACTATGTTATGTTTGACTTTCCTCTCTCTCCCCTTTTCTTTGACTTTTATTTCCATTCTTGGGTGCCTCTAGAAGTAATGCAGAAATAGAAAACTATCAGTAGCTTCCTAATATCATCAATTTAGCCAGGCTTAAAAAAGTTTTATTATGTTGCAGTAGAATTTACTGAATTTTTGTGCTACAAAATATCTTCTAATCTTTCAATGGCATTCCTAGCTCCTTATTTCATTTTTCTACCAAGTTGTATCATGTGGTGGGTTTTTTTGAGTGAACTTCTCAGTGTAATTAATAGTTTCAGCTGTACAAGCATACTCCTGTAGGTGTAGTTTACATCCCTTGAAACTGTATGTATAGTTAATTTTTTTGCTCCTATATTAGCTGTAGACCATCTTTCAGGTAAAGGGAATAATAGCAATTAATTTCTTTTCTATATTTGTGTTTGCTGCCAAATACTAGTAAATGCAATTGGTAAGCCACTTGCCAGGTGGAAATAAGATGAAATTACTCATTCATTTCCTGTGACAATATAAGGGCATTTGTTCACTGTGGGTACAGACTTGATAGAAATTGGAGATTAAGGTTCATGTTCAGATAGGCTAAAGTTCATATAAATCTCTTCTTTCTCCACACTATAATTCAATGTACTCCTTTTTGTGTCCCCTTAATTTTCATCCTCATCATATTAATGACTGACAGTTTCTACTGTTAATTCTTTATTAAAATTATTCACTGCTTATTTAAAAAAAGAAAGAGGGAAGTTAATATGAACTGGACATTTCAGCTCAGAGTAAAAAGCTTTAACATCTCCAATAGCATTAAATAAAATTGTATGTATTTCTAAAAATTTGTCATGACGACTTTTAATGCCATTCAGTAGCTGAATTAATGAACAGAATGTAGAATGGTAATTTTAAGAGCCATGTGTGCTTACTTTTTTTTTACAGAAGTACAAAAGTACTGATGGTAGAATTTTTTTCTTAATTACGTCTCTGAAGTATTTCACCATGTTTGTGTATGTTCTTTGCCATGATTATCATTAGTCTTGTTTAATGTATTTTAAACTTATATAACATTTTGTTTAGTGTTGCCATTTTTTCTTTAAACCCTACATGGGTTTCCAGCAGTGCACTTTCTGTGGGATTAAATTAGTTCCCAGCTGAAGGTATCACTAAAGGTACACACTTGAGCTGCACATGCGTTGCATAATGTAAGATGAACAGAAAACAATCCCTTGCAGCATGTTGCATCAGCTTTTTTCCTCTAACACTGATAAACAAATATGTTGTTACTAACAAAATAGAACTCTAATCTAAATTAAAAAAAAAAAAAAAAGTAGGTTACGTAATGTTGGTGTTTAGATCTGTATTTTCTGGTCTTCAAAGAGACATCTGCATATGCTAAAACTACCTTTTCCCCTTTTGCTTTATTATATTGG